GTGTTGGCACACGCTGGTATTAAAGCACTGGGGCAGCACGTCTCACCGGGCCTCAGAGCGCTGCCCACTAGCATACACACACACCTCCTGCCCACCTGTTCTCATCTTATGGGAAAATCCTCACGCAGAAACATGCACACACAATCACTCGTAAACACACAAGCACACATGAACACTCATGCATACAAAAATACACTTATGCCCTCATACATACACAGAAAAATGCACACATACACACATGCAAACACACTACACACTCACACATACATGTGTACTCTGTCTGGCCACTTTATTAGGTACATAAGTCCAACTGCTCGTTTATGCAAATCGGCCAATCACATGGCAGCATCTCAATGCGTTTAGGCATGTAGACATGGTCAAGATGATCTGCTGCAGTTCAGACCAAGCATCAGAATGGGGAAGAAAGGGGATTTAAGAGACTTTAAACATGGTTGTTGGTGACAGACGGCTGGTCTGAGTATTTCAGAAAGTGCTGATCTACTGGGATTTTCACGCATAACCATCTCTAGGGTTTACAGAGAATGGTCTGAAAAAGAGGAAATATCCAGTGTTGTCAGTTCTGTGGGTGCAAATGCCCTGTTGATGGTCAGAGGAGAATGGCCAGACTGGTTCCAGCTGAAAGAAAGGCAACAGTAACTCAAATAAGCACTCGTTACAACCGAGCTCTGCAGAAGAGCATCTCTGAACACACAACACGTCCAACCTTGAGGCGGATGCGCTACAGCAGCAGAAGAGCACACCGGGTGCCGCTCCTGTCAGCTAAGAACAGGAAACTGAGGCTACAATTCACACAGACTCACCAAAACTGGACAATAGAAGATTGGAGAAACGTTGCTGCTCTGATGAGTTTCCATTTCTGCTGACACATTCGTGGTCGGGTCAGAATTTGGCATCAACAACATGAAAGCATGGATCCATCCTGCCTTCGGTTTACCACCGGTGGTGGTGGTGTAATGGTGTGGGGGAGATTTTCTTGGCACACTTTGGGTTCATTAGTACCAATTGAGCATCATGTCAACGCCACAGCCTACCTGAGTATTGCTGCTGACCATGTCCAACCCTTTATGAGCACAGTGTCTCCATCATCTGATGGCTACTTCCAGCAGGATAACGCACCATGTCATAAAGCGTGAATCATCTCAGACTGCTTTCTTCTTTCTTTGTCTTTGGCTAGGCAGGACCTCGGTTTTGTAGCTCTACATAGTTTTGAATCTGGTCATCATGGCGCATTATTTCTTGCACATGACCCCAAAGAACAACATTGCTGGCATCCAAAGACTCGTAGGCCTTTAAGTTCTCTCTAAATCACTTGGAGCTTCAATGAGTTGTATGTTTGGGGCTGGATGCTTGGCCATTTCGTCTTATTCAATATCCATTGGGAGGGTGCTATCGCAAATGGACCTGTCAGACGAACGCCTCTCACTTTAACGTTAATTTTGCAGAATAACTGTGCTTATCATTGGGCGACAAGCTGTTTTAAATCACTCAAAGCATTATGTAAATAATATGTAATCAATATAACTTATCTCTAAGACAACAACAAACTCTGTACCGTTTTTTTTTGCAACCTTTCTCCGCGTGCATCCTGAACGTTTACACACCGGCAATTCGTCTGTGGTTTATGTGGAAGGTCATACTGTAGGTAATGTATTTCAAACACTGCGTCTTATTTGCTTGAAAGGCTAGTCATCTTTTTTTAGTAAGTACACTAGAAGTGGACTCCAGGTTTCAATAGATTTAAAGGGCCATGAAACCCCCTCGTTTCAGCAGGGTGTTTTCACACCTCTACTTTGGAAAAAGTCAGAAAAGTGGGCGTGTCCAGCTCTGTTTAGGGGGGAGTGTCGGAGGAACTAAAGTGGGATGGTGTGGGAGTGTCTATTTGTGCACGCGCGAGTTTCAGAGTCAAAACACACACACAGGAGAAAGTGATGTTGTTTAACCTACATGGACATCTGTAGTCGAATTATTTGCTAAATTATTAAATGGTGGACTTTAACTGCAGTTTGGTTCTTTCATTCAGGGAATTCATTCATGTCCCTCGTGACAAATGAGATATTTGATTCGAGGAACTGCTCTAAGTGTGTATTTTTCATGCAATGTTTGATACCGCACGGCGAATGAGAGAAAAAAAACCTCCGCATTTCCCGGAAACTTAGATGCACTCGGCAGGTAGCGTCAGAAAGCCGCGTGTGTTATTCCGGTCACAAAATGCGGTGCTAACATGTTTACACTCGGTGCAATAGTTAACTTAGTTCGATACGAACAAACTGAATAAACAAAGAGCACTGGTCGCTCAATTACCAAATCTGCAGACAGGACAATCACCAGCAACTAGAGCCGCGTCTTTATTAAGAGGAGACTACAAGCGAATCCGGATCTCAGCGTTTGCAGATGAGAACAGCTCTCAGGTAAACAATGATCCTCCTTAGACACGTAAGTTATTGTTGTCGAGCGTCGCGCACACTGTTAATCCACACGT